CTCGGTCATCAATAAAATCTGTATCTTGTGTACTGTTTGGTAAGCTGCACAGTGTCTTTGTTTCGATCTGGCTGATTTTTGTCATAACTAAGTCAGCAGCAATACCAAACCACAATGAGAATGTGTCCCTTGGACATTATCACCCATTTAAGTAAATATTTGCACTTAAAGGATGCACAAAAAAGTAGTAGCTCTAAATCTGTTCTAAACTATTAACTTTACAGGAGAATTGGAGCAGCATTAGACAATGTCATTGAACAAAAAGAATGTTTTGTTAAAAATTAAAATGGTTATTTTTCTTTATTACAAGTAGTTGCTACCCCCCTCATTTAGGCTGTGAACTTCTGGCTGAATGTGGTTCTTGCTCTAGTCACTAATCTTCCTTAGTATAAGGAAGCCATCTTTACTAGCTGCAAATGTCTTCAGCTTGGAGTCTTACGAAACTCAGTTATACGTAAGTTCTCTTGAAAAGCCATCCACTTTTGGCACCTCATTTTTAGAGATCATTTTGCTTTTCCTACAGGCACATCAATGATTCTGTAACTTCTTCAGTTCCATCATTCCGTCAACCTGAGCAGGAAAAGTCAGAGTTGCCCTTCAGGAATTTCCTTACTTGCTTTGAAGTCATAGCAGCAGCTTGTCGTGGCCAGCTACTTGAAGGCCTATTCGGATTAAGTTCTACAGGATACCACCCTGTTTCAGTTCCCTTTGGATAAAAACCTTGAAAGAAATTCAGAATTGAGGCTTAAGTTCTTATTAAATGTATACAGAGGGGAAAACTCATCAGCTGATCCCTTTTCAAAATTCAGCCTTAGTTCCAGGATATGCTTAAGTTTTCTGGTCACAGCCATGGCCATATTCCTTTATCAGTGCACTCACCTGGGAGCTGGGATGCTTGGGGTCTTGCTAGGCCATCCTTTCCTCTTCCAAATACACCGTTTCTCGCTCCTCCAGTCTTTCCTATAAACAGTTATGCAATTTGTCAGGTTTGAAATATGAAGACTTGTAACATTAAAACAATACCATATCTTGTAGTCTGGAAGGAAATTGTATTCCCTTATATAAAGGACCACAATAGTAATTTTCCCCACTAGTTTCCTATTTTTAGGGGCTCCAGTCTTAGTTTTTTTCAGTTTTGTAGATTGCCTGGAGTGTTATCGTTCTGGCTGTCTTGCCCGATGCTAAGAGGTTTGGGTACATTTGTTCCCAGAAGAGAAGTGGCATCTCTGATGCACCTGCTTCCCTCCCCTTCCCCCTTTTCCTCCCATGTTTTTTGCTCTTTGTTTCCTCTTCCTTCCAAGGATTTTGGTGGGTTCTCCATTATGTAAAAATCAAGATTGGATATAAATTCTAAAGCTCCCATATCAAACAAGAATGAATTTAGAAAGGTTTTATGACCCCATGATACATGAAAGCAGAGTGGTCCCTTTGCTTCTCTTTCCTTTTGTTGCTCCTGCTTTCATGTTGGGTATATACTATACAGATGGCCAACATGGTAGTATTAAGATTTAACAACCCATAGGTGTGTTAAGCTCTGCAGTCTAGGTGTGGTGTTCTGTAGCATCCCCTGGAGAACTCTACAGTAGACAAGAAGTAAGTGTAGTTAAAGAAAACTGAGAATCCTATGTTTGATACAAAGCAATAATCCTTCTGCACAAGTAGCGTAACTTTGCTGACTATTTCTCAAGAAGCTTTCGTGAATTGATCCTGTGGGAATGAAAAGTCACTGAGTGAGGGAAGGCATAACTCTGCCAGCTGGATAAATGGAAAGAAAATGAGAAAGTGTGCTTAATTTTTGATTGACTTTTGGCTATTCTTTGAAGATTGAAGGGGCTTTTTAATTTCAAATGAAAGCGGGATGCATTATGTATGCTTTAGCGGTTAGCAGTATTGCAGCAAGTCCTGCTTCCATATTGAACCTTGATGGAGGTAACAGGTTTGAGGAGATGATTCAGCTGAAGAGGACTCTACATTTACTTCCTTCGCTTCTAACACATCTTCAGAGTTGCAGTGAGTGTTCTGTGTGATGGGTCGGCATTTAGGTCTGGTGTTTTCTTTAAGCACCTGTGTAGTAAACAGCATGTTGATGTAAAGACTGTTAAAGCTTGGACTCTCATTTGCTCTTAGAAAATGAAAATAACAGTATACTATATTAAATATATTCTTAAAATATAAAAAAGCTTGGACTTGCATCATAAAAAGTTACATCCCTAGCAGACAACGTTATACTAGCAGAAGTTTCAAATGTAGACTTGTTCAAGTTTCTAAATTTTGCCAGCACTATTGTTATCTCTGGCATTGGCCAATCTAATGGAAGACTAATTTGATGAAACTCTGCTTATAATTTACCCACTGCCAAGCATAGGAACCCTAAATGTTTTCATATTTACAAGTGCTTTTTAATTGAGATGACGAGACCAGATTTAAGGTCTTGGAGCATTTGCTTAGAAATGAAATTACTTCTCGTAACAGACAGCTTTACTGTATCTGAAATTGTAGTTAAAATTTGAAGTCCTAAGGTTAGGTAAATGTCTGCAGGATCAGATTTAGGTTTTTTCTTCTAGGTTTTCAAAATTGTGAGGAGACTTGAATTAACTAATGTAGTTAATAATGTATAATGCTACCCTCCTGTAAAACCGCTTGCCTTCGTGAATCTGCCATCGTGATTTTGAGAGACTACTTGACATGGCAACCCTCTCCTAGAATTGGAGACCCTCTGCTTGATGAATCGGATTTTTCCCCTGTGACTCCCTAGGTGAAGGGATATTTGTCTTTGGCAGAAGTTCTGCCTTGAATAAGAGCAGCCTGAAGCAGTTGAATGCTGGCTAATACACTTGAAACTTGGGGCGGTTTTTAAATCAGGCTTTGCAGCTAAGTTTGAAACATCCTGAGAGAGAAGTCCATTAGCTAATTTTTGGTAATAGCATTTTTCTTCAGTTGTTTTCCAAGACTTGATGGAAGATCAAAGGAGTCATTTTGTAGGCAAGAGTTTGCATGCATTACCTCGTTATCCTGCCTTATTGGTATTTGTGATAGCATAGGCTGATCATTGTGCCACACCTAGTACAAGCCGTATGCAAACTAAATAAAAAGTACAGTAACGTTCTGGGGGAAAGTTCATGAGGAAGATATTCCACAAAATGTGGGTGACTGAACTAGTACGGAGTCAATAAGTCAGTATTTCATGTTGATTATGTAAAGAGCAGCAAACGTAAGCAGGGTTAAATGAACCTCAGTGTTCAAGCATGTAATGTGAAGGTGTGTCACTGAAGTGCATGTTGGCATAAGACAAGGTAAAACAAAGGGAGAAAATTCCCAGGGTTTGGAAATCATTGTAAAAATCATTGTGAAAGTTGCTGCTTTTGTAACTGTGGCGTTCACTTTTGGTCTTCAGTGGAAAAAATAGCTGTATGTTTGCATACCATTTAAATTGCTTACCAAGAGCTGGGAGCTAGGTGGCGCCATTGATTTGTCTTCTGCCACTAAAAATCTTGGTTCAAAATCACTTGAAATTGGAAGTGGGAGTGAGCACATTGTTTAGTTAGCAGTATGCAATACTTGTCCATCTATCACCAATGCTAGAATCGCGGGGGTACCACACATCTGTCAGAAGGAATCTGTGGTTGGGTTCAACTTTCTTAATTGCGATTTACCACTTTATCAACTGAGCGTAGTGAAGAGTAGTTTTTATACAGGGGGCAAGTTTACAAAATCCAGTGTATTTAGAGTGTTGTGCCAAACAGCATCTACACTGTCATGGGTGGCTTCAGTGCTGATTGGAACAAACTAATGCAGTATGGGTAATGCAGAGATTTAGCAAATGATCATTGTAATTGAAAATTATTGTGGCGTGGGCGGTTCTAAAGAGTAAAAGACTTGGGTATGCACATCGTCAAACTGCATGAGTGGAAAGGGCACGTGGGTGAGAGTGAGCAAAGGAGGTGGGAATCAGTGTAAGAGTGACGTTTGGCTTTTTATCTGTGGAGAGAAGGGAGTATAGCCAGAAGTGAGGGCTGATGAGTAGTAGGCGACCTCTGACCCTCTGGATCATCGTGTACACATAAAAGGACTAGACAAGTGTTTGATGAATCCTCTTATACAGAGTCCTGTGACTGTTGCACCAAGACCTTCCATACGTACATCTAGACAAGAATATGTAGGAGTGGAGGCCACCCAAGACCTAACCCTCCCACACCTTTAGACCATTGAGACAGAATTCAAAGGCCAGACCAAATCCCCACATTCAGTGCCTTGATGGTTGTATTTTCAGCCAGAGGTCAACAGATAAGAACTGCTGCTGACTGCCTTGCACCTCAGTTTCTATCAGGGTGATGTCCCTCAGTCTTTCTGCAGCCCCAAGGCAGTAGGGGCTAGGGTTTGGAGTGCCCTATACTCCCTTTATTCTGGAGGTTATGACTTTGTGGTACTTCTTAGGTGCTACCCTGCCACACACAGCCCAACTGTGTGGTCACCAGGCCCTCCAGTCAGATGCAGTTTAAGGTTGTACCCAGGACCCAAGTTCTTGTTAATGGAGACGAGGGAAAAACCTTTTCATAACAATTTATATAATGTGGGTTTATGTAAGTACTGTGCATCATTTATAAGGGAAGTGGGTGGAGAAAGATATTGTCATTATAGTTGTACAGGATCAGGCACTGAAATATTTGCACACCTTGATTTGTGTATTTTGGCTGTATTCTACTTCTTCTCTGATTGTAATTCCAGTATATTTAAGCTAGTTTATCATGTCTAAACCAGTGCCAGTAATTTAATGTGGTTTGTGTACATTTGGCTATTACTCATAAAGCCCTTGTATGTTTGTATAATTTTTCTACTTGGGTTAGAGGCATGTAGTACCAGCTTGTGACCATGTGGTGTCTTCTTTTATTTTAGCTGTTGTGTAATGTACATAAAGATTCTGATTGGATAAAATAGTTACACAATGTGGGGATCCCATTCTGATTATAAAAATCCTTCGTCATTATGTCTACAACTCACAGGCTACACAGTTGCTGATTGTAGAAAACAGGAGAGACTGAATAGGCTAGCTGGTACAGAAGAGCTGCAGAGGTTAGTACAGATTCTTTAAGGTAAGATTAGTTCTCCTGAATTCCCTTTTAAATTTTGAAATGAATCAGTTGAAAAATCAGCTGCTTAAATCTAGGTAATTAAGAGCATAGTAAATAAAAAGATCATAAGCTATAAAACAAGACGCGCTTCAGATTTTAAGAAGTCACTGTCGTTTGGATTTGAGGAATTTAACTCGTTTTATTTATTAGAAATGTAGAAAACTAGTGTTGTTTATTGTAGAAAATTATTTACTGTAGAAAATTGATCATCTTGGAGCTGCAAACAAATGTTCAGAAATGCCAAAACTATTCTTAATCTGTAAACTCATTGTTCATAGCAGCATATACTTGCTTCTAAAATCATTTTTAAAGATTCTTGAAATCAATGAGAGTGACGGTTGGCATCTTAGTGTTTTTTCATTTTGTTGAGTAAAGATCTTTGGATGTTTAATAAAGAAAGGAAAACCCCCTGTTCCTCAAGAATCTGATAGCTAAAACTTTCACAGACTGATGCTGGTTTTAGAAAAGAAGTTAGAAAATATGAGGATATGTTAGGTATGAGCAGTTATTAGCTTTTTTTGCATAATTGACCTGACTAGATGAGGAAATAGTTTGTGGCTGGAAGTATGCCAGAGTTCTGGAAAGTGAACTCCAACTTTTGGTGTATGTGTATTTTTAATAGCTTGTTATGTGACTCGCTCTTAGAAGGGAGTCATTTCATCAGAGGAGGAATGTGTCTAGTCTTCTAGATTCAAGTAGTTTATGTTAATAAACTGTCAGGTAGAAATCTAGAGAGTGTTAAAAGGTGCAGTGTTTACCAAGGAGGTTTTCTGAGTGCATTAAAAAGGATTTAACGCCATGTGTAGCATCCAGGAGAATTTGGAGTTCTCTCAATTTCTGGGTAGTCAACCTTTGGAGACCAGATAGAACATACAATATATAAAATTATATGAATTGTGCCATAACCTGCCCTACAAGGAATACTAGGTGTCATGCTTTCTCTCAGATAATGAGGTTTATCTAAAGGAAAGTCAGCAATTCACTTAATTTTCAGATTTTGTACTGTTTAACTTAATTCAATTAAATGCTGATCTCCCAAATACTGTTTGCCATCTTTGAAATCTACTTCTGGAGTTAGTTTTGTAGGCTTCCCACTTGATCTTTCATTAAAGTCTCATCTGCAGGTGAATTTAATGCATAGTATGTTGCAAAGCAAAAAGAGATTGAACAATCAAGGATAATAAAGCGGTTTGGTGGGAGAGGGTAGTCACATATTGAAACAGTCAAGGATCAAAAGAAAGAGAGTACGAGAGATAAAGTTGTAGAGAACATAGTAGTGGAGACAGGTTGGTTCTTTGTAGAGCTGGGTGAATTTTTTTGGTGAATCATTAATTTGCTGAGATTGCTGATTGTTTAGTGAACTGCTTCCCAATCTTTTGTGACAGCGAACCACTGACACACCTCAAAATTTCTCGTGGCCCAGCATTCACTTTTAGCTTCAGATTTCGAAATGAAGAGGGTATGGTGAGGGTAGTATCATATGGCCTGTTAGCATGGCCTGGTAGAGGACAGCTTGGAAACAGTTGTTTCACTGGCAGTTTGCTTTTGCTTTTGCTTTTGCTTTTGCTAAGCAGTGCTTAAAAGCTTTAAAGTAAATATTATGGAAAACTATTTTTGTTTTGAAAGGCATTGAAAGCAAACAAATTGTAACAATTCTTCTAACCAAAGAAGGTTTTGGGTTGAAAGCTAAGGCTGTGTGAAGCTTCGGTATCCGATTCGATTTGGAGGAGATTCGGCCCAATTCGGGGATCAAATCTCCAAATCTGAATCGAATCAGGAGACCAATTAAAAGCTCCGAATTGATTTGAAGCATCTGAGTCTATTCGGAAAAGCTTCAGAAAAGATTGGGCCACTGCAGAGATTCAGCCATAAACTAAACAGGCAGCTGACACAGCTGCCTTCAACTGGTAAGTCTGATGGGGAGGGAAGCAGCCTGGGGTAGGGAGGGGCTGGGGCTGGGGCTGGGGCAAGCTGCCCAGTTGATGCGCATTACTTGGGGAGGGGGCCAGGGGTGTGTGGGATGTGGGCACAGCAATGCTGGGAGTGGGGGGCTATGCCCTGTTGCTGCTTGCTGGGGGGGGGGCATGCAGGCACGCCTCACTCTTTGGATGGGGGCAAGCAGCAGCGGGCATTGCTTCAACTTCCAGAGCCCCCCACTCCCAGCGTTGATGCAGGCATGGTAGCACTGGGAGCAGGGACTAGGCCTTGCCGCTGCCCAGAGTGAGCCGTGCTTGCATCGTGCCCCCCCCCCCCCCCCCCCCGCTGGCTAGGCTGGGCGGGGCATGGGACCAGGCTGGGCACCAATGGAGGTTTCTCCCTCAGCTTCCTACGCTGGGGCAGAGGCAGGCACAGCTGGAGGAGCAGTGGGAGAAGCCCCCATGGGTCAGACAAATCCGAGTCGAATACTTCCCTATTCACACAGGCCTATTGAAAATGCCTTTGGGAAAAGTTGTCCTTTAGACTAAGCTGGAAAAAAGTAGTTTAAAGTTTAAAAATAGTGTTAGTGCAAGAACCTAATTTTATGTGCAGCCCCAGCAAGATTGAAAGACTTTCAAATAGACAAATCCCTTTGCTCGCCTGGAGCAGTTTTTGGGATATGGATATACACTACTAAATTATGTATTTATATGGTCTCAATTTAAGCCCCTGTCATTTCTTGAGTCTTCGGAGGAATGCTGAGTGTAAGACATCACCTTTGAAAGAGAGGGTTTCCAGTCCAGTATTCTCTTCATATAACATGTGTTTAGTGCATATTGGTCTTCATTAATCTCATACCCATGTGGTGGAGAGTTACTTTACATAAAGTCTGACAGCACAGCTGCAGATAGCCTTGCCAACACTTGAGCTGGAATTTGGGTTTTGAGCTTTTGGGGACAGGGTCTTTGTTGTACTTGTTGCAGAAAATGGTAAGCAGATTTCGGAGCAGCATAAATTGCTAAAATAGATCTTAAGCCCTGGGTTTCAAATGCTCATAACTTGGGTGTAAATGTTCATCTTCCAATAGAAGATTTTCACTTGGCAATCCTGAATGTCAAAAGCTGTAGGAGGTGCAAGCTGTGAAGTAACAGTAGGTAGAATTTGTTATGGCAGGGCCCAGAGATAAAGGCCTCATTGTGTTAGGCGTTCTTCAGACAGAATGAGAGGCTCTGCCCCAAATACTTTACATATTGAAGATCAAGTTTTCTTGCTTTCAGTGAACTGGCAGGAACTCCAGTTTTTTTTGTTAAGAAGAAGCAGCTAATGCTCATGCAGCATAGCTTTAAGTATTTTATGATTGTATTATAAATTGTGCATAAAAATCTTATGGATTTCTGTGGGACTTGATATTATCTTCATTGCTATGACAACAAGCATCAGCACCAGTGTTCCCTTTAAGCTGAGTGCTGATGCCGCACTGCCAGGTGCACCTGTGTGGCCGTGCAGCTTAGAGGGAACACTGATCAGCATGTCTGTAGAGAGCAGTTGTGGTCGTATGTAGCCAGAGTACTATGTAAAAGGTGACTTGGACTAGGAAGATGGAGCATGCATCACTATCTTGGAGTGTATTTTTAAAAATTTGTGCTTAGGTTAGAGAAAAATAAATGCAGAAATTGGGTATGACTGGTTTGATGGTTGTCTAAACCAGTAACAATCAGAAGGAAGTTGCCATTCCATAATTAGCTAGGGCTTGCCTTGCTTTTTCATTTAATTGGCTATTGGGCGGGGGGAGGTGCTATGCTGTAAGTAAACCTGACTAATTAGAGCCTCAATAAAATTTCATAGATTTCATAGACATTAGGGCTGGAAGGGACCTTGGAAGATCTTCGAGTCCAGCCCCCTGCCCAAAGCGCAGGAAGTCAGCTGGGTTCATAGGATCCCAGCAAGATAAGCATCCAGTTTGCTCTTGAAGACGTTCCATGTAGGCGCTTGAACCACCTCCGGCGGCAGGCTGTTCCAGACCTTGGGGGCTCGGACAGTAAAGAAATTCTTCCTTATGTCCAGCCTGAAACGGTCTTGTAGTAGTTTATGACCATTTGACCTAGTCGTCATCCCTTGGGGCGCTCTGGTGAACAAACGTTCCCCCAGATACTGGTGGTCACCCCTGATAAACTTATAGGTGGCCATCAGATCACCCCTGAGCCTGCGCTTTTCCAGGCTAAAGAGCCCCAGGGTTCTCAGCCTGTCATCGTAGGGTCTGCTTCCCTGACCTCTCATCATGCGCGTGGCTCTTCTCTGGACTCTCTCAAGCTTCTCCACATCCTTTTTGAATTGTGGAGCCCAAAACTGGACGCAGTACTCCCGCTGCGGCCTCACTAAGGCCGAGTACAGGGGGAGAATGACGTCCCGGGATTTGCTTGAATGATGACCCCCAAGTCTCTTTCTTCCTTAGTGCTAGCCAACATAGCACTGCTGAGCCTATAAGGATGCTGCGGGTTTTTCTTCCCAAGGTGGAGAACCTTGCATTTATCGGCGTTGAACACCATCAGGTTCTCATCCGCCCACTTGCTGAGCCTGGATCACCCACCTGTCTTCTGGTGTGGATGCTTTGCCCCGAAGTTTGGTGTCATCGGCGAACTTGGTCAGTCCGCTTCTGACTCCAGTGTCCACATCATTAATGAAGATGTTGAACAGTATGGGTCCAAGGACAGAGCTTTGGGGGACCCCACTGGTCACAGGACAGCACGATGAGTGACTTCCATCAATTACTACCCTCTGGGTCCGACCACGGAGCCAATTTTCCAGCCAGTGGATCGTGGAGGACCCAAGGCGACAATTGGCCAGTTTCTCCAGTTGTTGGCTTCACTAATTCAGGCAGTTCTAAAACCACTCTGATCAGTTTAGGTCCATGTCCATTGGAAATGGAATCTCTTCCAGATTGTCCCTTAGCATCCACCCCAGCACCTGCTTGGATTTTCTCTGGCAACTCATATGGCCCTTGTACACGTGACGAATATCGCTGTA